ATAACTTATAAATAACATAAAGTAACATAAAATATAAAATTATATGACATGTAAAAAAAATTTAGTTATAACTGGAAATGTACAAAGCAGCAAACTACATGATAGATCATTGCTATAGTGTACATGAAAAAAAAATTTATATTGTCAATCACTGCTCATTAGTTGCCACTTTTCTCTTTATATACTGTCTTTTTCCAAGCTCTTCAGCTGTTTATCACAACTCTGTGTTTTGCACCACATTTCCCACTCCCATTTTACTAATTCTACTATTCCTTCCTGATACGTAAGTGAGGAGCAAATATTTACTGTACAGGAACTTGGTGATGGATTACTAAAATGCATGATTGCATATTAATCATGTGGAGGAATACATGAAGAAATAAGATCATTTGGGGCAGAATACCATAAATGGACTTTTTAGCAGTCAGAGGTTATATCAGTATGATAGTAAGTCAGTTTTCAAATTATTGAGCCTTTACAGAGTTCCTATCAAGTTTGTGCTTCTCTTCACACCTCCCAGTCTTCACTCTGCCTCTCCCTCCCAGCCCCTATTTCTGTAAGTAATGCTTTTAACTATTGAAAAAAGCTTAGAGAAAGCAATTAAGGATTTGGGTTTCATGGATGAACTAGAAAATGATCATTTTGAAGATAGATTTTTTTTTTCTGTTGACAAATGGCTGACTTTTCAAAATTTCTTTTGCTTTTCAGATGACAGAAGTCAAACTGTGCTCCCCTTAGTGAAATCGTTCTGTGAAAAATCCTTCAAAGCAGATGAATCTATCCTAGTTTCTTTATCTTTCCATTTAGGGAAACTGTGCAATGGATTGTATGGTATGATTTAATTTTCTTTTAAAAAAAATCATAAAAGTTAGGGAACATTGGAGAATTTGAAATCTTTGGAAAATATCCAGATACGAATGTAACAAACGATACAATAGTTAGGAAAGGAAACATGGAAGTAAAAGTCTGAAATAATTTATTGAATAAATGCTGGATTTTGTGAATTTCTTGTTTGGGTTTCCATCTTTTTTTTAGTGGGGTTTTTAGTGTTTAAACAGGGTCAGAGATGGAAATATGGTAGCTTGTGTTTTATTGGTATGTTTGAATTACTTTGATTCGTTCTTTGATATTCTGGAACTTGTGAGGTGGATGACTGAGTTTTGAAACTAGAAACCTTTGAAAACACAGTATGATGTTAACTGTGGATATTTGCATCTGTGCCTGATATCCTTTTTTTGAGGCACAGTACAGTGTGGTCTATGAGGAACTTCAGAGGAGAAAGGAGAACAAATGGCATGTGGATTCTCAGCTGTGACTGAAGCCAAATCTGTACCCATAATTTTTTTTTGTTTTCACTTACGCATGACAGATCTTTATTTGATCATTCTACCCACTATACACCCTCTACACAGAGTTTACCTGGGGGGGGGTTGGCACGGAATCCTGGTTATATATTACAGAGAATTTTCCCCTAGACTCTTAAACCCTTTGATGTTTCTTACAGATCTTTAAAATGATGCTTTGTGATTATGTTAGAGACTATCCAAGTGACCATTGCTTCACTACAAATAACTTGAAAGGGCTCTTCCACAGTGTCAAACTGATTTACAGAAACAGAGCTAGGACAGCCCATCCTGATTTTATCATGTCTTCTAAGCCTTCTTTTCTCTAGGTTAAATGAATTTAATTGCTGATGTCTCTTCACCTCTGAACTATTCTCTGGCAAATTAATAGTTTTCCTGAAATGTTACGCCTTAGGAGAGCTGAACAAAGTCAGAGGGTTACTTCATGTGTCTTGCAAGCTATATTGCTATCTACACTTTTCCGTATGAAAAACTGCCTTTTTGGTTTATTGGTTTGGGTTTTATTTTTTTTTGTTTGTTTGTTTGTTGGTTTGGTTTGGTTTTTTTTTGCTGTAGTTTGATGTTATTTGTTCAAGTGAAGCCTATGAAACTTTGTTTTTTGTTGTTTGATTGTTGGGTTGTTTGCTTTTGTTGTAGTGGTTTTTATTTCTCTTTATAAAGCCAACAGCTAGTTAGTCTTTCTCTTTCCTGTGCATGGGATGCAGACCTGGCTAAGCATGGTACCTTACCTCTGTTCTAATGGAATAATAGTCTAAAGTTTTAAGACCTATGTCCATTTTCTGAAGACCATTTTAAACTCTATCTTCAGAAGAATTCTAAATAATATCTACTTCCTAGGCTGATGTTAGCTGAATATTGAATAAGTGAAGTCTCTAATCCAACATCAAAAATAACAGTGAAAATGCTAAATAGTACCATAACTAGGATAAACCTTTCTTTATACAGTTTCCTATCTTGTCAGTGAACCATGGGTAACTTTGTTTTAATTGCTTTTCCAAGAAGTTTTGCAGGATCTTTATAGTTTTTCATCTTTCTTTCCTGATCCCTTGTTTTGCTTACAAAACCCATGACTTCTACTGCCTCTTTTGTATCCACAGGTCCTATTATCAGTCAATAGAAGGAAACTAAATCAGTTTGACAAGTTCTGCTTTTGCCATGTCGGCTTCTACTTGTTTTTTTCTTTTCTGTATTTACAAGTAGATATTGTGATTTTTAGTTCCAGTTTTTTTAAAAAAAAAATTAATCTGACTAGTTTGTAACTACACGTCTTGTCCCCCTCTCCAACTATTAACATCAGTACCACTTTAGCCAGCCATTTTCTGTCCAACATCTCACTTATTTAAGATTTCAGCAGCTAGTACTTTAGGTACTTTTGAATAGGAAAATAATGCACATTTGACCCTGTACATTTTGAAACTTCTTGTGTTTAAGTATTCACTGACCTGTTCTTCTCTACTTAAAGCTTGAATCTTTATCACAGTTATTAGTTGTACTGAGTCTGATGTTACTATAGGAATCTGGGAAAGGAAATAAAAGCTTTAAGCATTTCAACCTTCTTAGTACCAATCTCTAATAACTTTCATCTGTCTTGAGTAGAAAACAGCTTTTCCTTGATTGTTCTCTTATTACTAATATACGACTTGCTAGTTTTCAAGTCATCTTGCTAGTTGCATTCCAGTTTGTTCTGAGTTTTCTAATTTTATCCTTACTCCTCTTTATTATCCATAGCAATATAGCCCAATTTTTAACTTTCTGCGGGCATATGTTCTTGATGTGACTGAGTTCCATAAAGATCTAAAAATTTAATCAAGAAGAAACCAGTATTCATGGAGCAAACAAATATGTTTACAATACTGTCATTTGTCCTGAATATTTCAAGAATTCTGTAAACAGAAATTAAGATTCACTCTTTTATAGTTAGCTGTCATTTTTCTGTAATCAATTCTGTATGATGTGTACTGATGACACTCTGCTAGAGTCCAGTCTGGTGGGGAGGAGGGATAAAAATTGGCATATTTGATTTATAAATGAGATTTGTTTTGGGACATTATTAATAGCTTTTGTAATGAGGAAAGTAAACTTTATTTTTCTTTGAGGCATTTTTACTCCTGAACAGCACTTAAGGTTTTTGGAATTTTATAAGAAGCTTTCGACACTGGGTTTACAACAGGAAAATGGACATAATGACAATCAACTACAACTTCAAACTCTGGAACAGGAGAAGAAGTACATTTCAGTAAGGAAGAACTGTGCTTACAATTTTCCAGTAAGTAACATCAATTTAGGGTTAAATGATTTGTGATGCATATAGTTCCCCAAGTAGGAGTGTAGGAGTGACAGAGAATTTATTCTCAAATTACACACTGTTAGCTGGATTCTAGCTCACTCCTGAAAAGTTCAAATTAATGGCTTAAAGTAAAGGCTGTTTAAAAGAGTAACCAGGAAAGATTCCTCTTTGCAGAGCCTGAGAAAATTACTGTCAAATTTTGATGGGGCAATTGCTGTTCTAAGAGGTTACTGATCTCTTCTTTCCTATGCATTTTCTTCAAACCACAAGCAAGGTTTTGAGAAAATAGCTGTGAAACAGTGGTCCTGGTTCAAACCATTCAAAGCTAGGTTTTTGCTTTTGCTGTGTATCATAGCATTCTAGAAAGCTGAAGATTGGATCTGAATGGTTAGATTCATATTTTAGTCATGTTTCTATCTGAATACAGAAAGTTTTTTCAAGTTTATATGAGGTCTTCAAACTTACCACTCATGTTTCTGTAAATCTACTTTCTATTTTGACATTCTGCATTTATATTTGAAGAAAATGTTTGTACCAGGAGCTAGTAGACAGTTATTTTTATTCTGCCTTTTAAAGACAAGCACCCTGTGTATGTCAGTAGAAATCCATTGGTTTATTTGAGTAAAACCACAGTTATGCTGAAATTCAGATGGTTGCTTTGCAGCTTGCTGTAATACTCTTTGTTTTTGAAGTCTCCAGTTGCAGCTTCCACTACTGCATGGAAATAAACAATATTTATAAAACTAAGGTTTTATATCTTGTGGTTTTAATCTATGTATTCAGGGAAAAAAAGCCTGCAGCATATCTGGGAGATACGTAAATCCAGTTTAGTTCTCAACTCCAGAATTTGTCTGGTGCCTGTGTTTTGACATGGCTATCAAAAATTCCACGCTTCCTCTTTAAAATCACAACCTGTTCTCTCCGAAGTGTCTTGCTGGTTGTATCTCAGTGTTTTAATCAGATTATCCCTGATAGTGTGATCCTTTAGCTGTACAGTTAATAAAAGACTTTCTTTCTACAGGCCATGATTGTTTTTGTGGATCCAAAGAACTTCCATTTAGAACTATATTCTATATTCTTCTGCCTTTGTCATGACCCTGAGGTTCCTGTCAGATATACTATGGCCATAAGCTTCTTTGAAGTAAGTCTACAACAGTTCTTTGTTAGTACTTGGATATTTTTATTTTACATCAGTTTCTTCTTTAAACATATTTGTGACTTTTCAAATGAAATAAAAAGACTTGAGACAACTAGTTGAAATTGTTTAGTTTGTCAGCCTACTGCTATGTGAGCTTTTAAGGAGCAGGAGCCAGAAGAAACTCATAGTGGTCTAGTATCACAAGCATAAAAACTTGTAGTAATTACAATATTTGAAGATTTTTCAGTGCTATTGGAAAAAAACTGAAACAAATGGGAGAAAGGAATTTGCCACTTCTGGTTGTGAAAGTTTTCTTTATAATTCTGGTTTGCTGGTGTTAATAAAGTTTGCTTTAAGTGGAGAATACTTAAGTGGGTCAAATCTAAGTTAAATGCTTTATTTAATATGAAACTACTTGGAAATTTATGGAGATGTAGAAGTGTGTGTATTCTTAATATTCCATTCAGTTTGCATAAGTTCCATTGCATTATTTTCATAAAAGTTAAAAAATGTACAACTGCATAGATATTGTTAGTTATATGGAGTGAATTCCAGAAATTAAAATAAACTTTTTTCCTGACTGTAGTGACCCTTATAGAGACATCCTCAAGGTTTTTGTAGTGTTTTACTGAGAATCTTTGTGTTTCAGTCCTTGACCTAGCCTTTTATCCTATTTTGCTGCTGGGAGTTGAGTTAAGCACCTTGCAGAGAGCATTTGTATCACTAGTACAGGCATAAATGTCTTTATTTCTGCCATTGTAAGAGATATAGATGGATTTCCAGTTTTTGTTACCTCTTGATGTATTGTCTTAATGAATTACAATCCAAAGCAATAGCTGAAATTTTAAAACTGACATCTAAGTCTACATAGTATTTTGTGTTATATTTAGACAGTACCTTGAAAATATTATACATCTAATTAAAGTATTATATCTCTTTTAAAAATAAACTGTGAGATTATACCTTGGTCTGAATGTACATTTAGTGCTGATTGATTTAATTTTAACTCCATAACTAGGCAACCATGTGACAGTCCAAAATGAGTAATTTACAGCATTCATTGCTAGGTGGTTTTTGGTTTTTAATTTTTTGTTTTAAATAAACTTCCTGTGGCCATTTCCTTAAAGGTTCATCATGACTGGAAGTAAACTCTTATTTTCACTTGGCTTATATAAATCAAGCCATTAAAAACCGACATCCAAATATTCTGTAAGGCAAAAATCTCATTCCTCACATTTTGCTCATATTTGATATAAAACTATTCAACAGCATGGAGATGGACTGCTGATGTTTTTTAGAAATTTATGTGTGACTTAGAATCACAGTCAAAAAACACAAAGAATTAACGTATGGAAACTTCAGATGGAAAGGTTGGGAAAACTTAAAAGCCATCAGACTAACCCATTTTTAATATTTTCTCTTTTGTAAATTATATAGCAGACTGACTGTTAACTCTCCGAAGGAGCATGAAGTACAACAATTGAATATTCCAGAAGGATTTTTTCTAACTTTGCAGTGCAGTTTTGAAATTTTTTTAACATGAAATAAAGTTAATTCTAAAATCATGGTTTCATGGTTGGATAATAGCTCTGTTTCTTGACTCATATTCTTTATGTAAGCATATTTTTAATGTGATTAATGGGAAAGTAGACAACTTTAGAAGGCTAATATTAAACAATTGTTCTGCATCCCTCCTTCATGCTTGCTGTAAAGTAAGCACATGGAGTATAGTTGTTGTAGTGCCATGGAACTAAAGAATATTTCACCTTGATATCTTACTGTCATTTTTTAGGTTGCTAAACTTTTAAATTCTGGTGTTTATACAATACATAAAGAACTGGTTACACTGTTACAGGATGAGTCACTGGAGGTAATGTACTTTTATTCATCTTAATTTGCCTTAGCAATAAGGCAGTAGATTAACTTTACAAGTTATCAATAGCTTTTACTTCTTTTGCATAGATGCTTCATAAAGATGCTAGCCTTCTGTGAATAAAAAGGAGGAAGACAGGAAGATGTTTGAATTTAGTAAACCCACACTGAGTTTATAAACTTTAAAAAATATTAATTCTAAATTGTTTTTATTGCTATATTAGTTATTACCTTACATATTCTGTGGAAAGATTTGGTTCTGATGCTATGTTAAAATTACCATTGATAGTGTTCAAGGTTTTTGCTTTATTTTATTTTCATTTCTCCGGTTGTAAAGAAGGTCAAGTTGTGTATAGTTCAAAGATAAAGAATTATAGAAATTGTTCCAGTCCAAAATCTTGTACAGAATATGTGAGTTTGTGAGACAGTATAGTTTAGTGTACCTCAGTTTCAACTTGCATAGAACATGAATCACTTAGTGGTGTTACAGACAATACAGAGAGACTTCTTTGGATTGAAAAAAAGGCAATAATTGTTTGAGATAAAATCACCATTTCCTCTGGTACCAGTTATTCCAAGAGTTGATCTTTTTTTTGTTTTCTGTGTAAGATCTTTGGGTAAGACATGGAAAAATTGAGTTTTGCTTTCCAGTGGTCCTTTTTGTTTTGATACCCTGTCTTAGACATTTTCAAATAAATTCAAAGTGTTCATAGAACACTTAGATTTTATGAAATTCTAACCCATCTTAAAAGATTTCTCAAGTTGTATACCTGAAAGTTCAGACTCAGAAGCAGATGGTGATTTTGAAAAATTCCTTTGATTCCTATACAGTCATGTAAATAACAAAAAATATTTGGTCCTTTATATACCACCTGAGTCAGAACTGGTGCTGAAAAATACTTAATTATGTACATTTTTCTGTCTAGTTTGAGGTATTACAACATTCGAAAGTAGGGTTATTTCTCTTAATACAGGATATTCTATTCTAATTTATCAACTGCAGTTTTTATTAAAGCTGAAAAAATTGCTTTTAAGAATCAGCTGACAAATATTAAAAAAAATGTTTCTGTGTTTGTTGAGGCTCTTACGTAATTGTCTATGAAATACAGATCTTTCTTAAGAATGAATATTCAAACTGTAGTTTGTTTTTCTAAACTGATATCAATAATGCCTATATTACTTACTACATTAAAATATCAAACTTAAATCCCAGTCCTCACCAATGCAGGTGTGTTATGTGTCTTGGTTGGTTGGTTGGTTTTGGTTGATTTGGGAGGAGGAGCTTATGTTTCTGTTTGTTTAACATGGATATGAGGACACAGTAGCATGAGGGAAGTCAGCAGGGGTAGGTTGGGGCGAGTTAAAAATTGAGTCAACTTAATTTACAGACCTGATTCATGCAGCCTTTATTTAAACAGGTGTTAGATGCCCTGGTAGGTCACCTTCCTGAAATCCTTGAACTCATGACTAATGGAGGAGAAAACAGTGGATCAGAAAGCAAGGTGGGTATTCTCAAGGGGTTTTTTTTCATTTGCTTTCTAAATGGAGACAGTAGCAGAGTTGTTCAGACATGTATTGTACGAAAAGAATTTCATGGTAAGTTTCTACTTTGGAGAGAAGTATAAAGTTTCTATGGCTTTTTGATTGTTGACTTTATAAACTTTAAAAACAAAGTTTTGAAAGGTCAGACTTCATATAAAAATGAACAATTTATCTATGTTCTTTTTCTAATTAACCAAATTTTGAAATACAATTGTTAAGTTAAAACTTTTTTTTTTTCATGGTAAGGAGTGATGGCTAATACCTAATTTATATTTTTTTATATTGATGTGGCAACTGGCCATGGTTGCCCTTTTCAGACAGTTTCTGCTAGAAAGAAGCCTATTTGCTGAAGTAAGGGCACTGAATTTAGGATTTAGAAAGTCTGTATTCAGGTCCCAGCTTTGCAAATTTAATTGTATGTGGCTCTGGATTGTGGTTTACTCAGTGGCTCCTCACCTGTGAAATGGAACATAAATGATCATCTCCTGCTTCAAAATGCTGTTTTGAGCATACTTCCTAAACGTGTTAGAGACATTGAGATATTCTAACAACATAAGAACTGAATAAATTTCTTTTCTTCTATGGACAAAAAATTGAGAGTATAATTTAAAATGTGAATTTGTCAGATGTTTACAGTTGTGAATGTATATAACGTATAACAAGTGTGATGTCAAGCCTGACTGTCTGTTTCAGTTTGCTTAGTGCTAAAGACAATTTAGCTTGGCTGCTATAAAGTCTTTTCCTCCTCCTCCAGAGAAGTGTGTAATTCCTACTAAAACTAACTGGGGAGCCGAGAAGAATAACTTCAAAGATTGAGGCTAGAAGGAAATGGGATTTGTTTGGTTTGGGAAAGAGAAGACTGAGGAGAGTTGTCATGATGGTCTTCATCTCTGTAAGAAGGGTATTACAAAGAGAACACATTAGTTTTTCTTTGTTGGGGGAGGCATTAGAAGTGAAAGTGGATTTAGTTAGGTACTGGAATAGCTCTTTGACTAGTACGTGGACTTTAGTGCTTGGGGGAAACTAAACCAATTTAAAAAAAAAAAAAGAGACTAATTTCTACTGGAAATGGTCACAGTATAGTGATCACGTAATTCCTCTCCTCAGAAGAATTACTTGACCCCTTAGAATCTCTTCCTTCCTTACATTATTGTGATGTGCTTTTTAAGCATAGTAACATGACATACAGCTACAAGATGGAAAATTATTTTAATGTTTATATTTTTCTTTCTAGTTATTGTCTATTCCTGACTTGATTCCTGCATTAACAACAGCAGAACAGAGAGCAGCAACTTCTTTAAAATGGAGAACTCATGAGAAGTTACTACAAAAATATGCATGTCTCCCTCATATCATATCAAGTGATCAGATTTATTACCGTTTTCTTCACAGAATGTTGACAATCATTTTGACAAATGTGAGCTCACTTGTCTCTTTCCCATTGTTTTTTGTTTACATGATTTCGAACAATTGCCATCAGATATTTTCTATGTGTAGTACTTTAAGAGTAATATAAAGTACAATTTTTCATTGCAGATACTATATCAGGCTTTAGGGTTTTTTTTTTTCAATAAGTCTGAGAAATTGCTCTCAGAACTCTCCCCACTCCCGCCCCCAGCTGAGGAGCAAAATTTGGATTGACAGATTGCCATAATTTTCTTCACACTATTTCCTTGTGCTCATTATCAGCTTGCTTATAAGTAAATCAAAACTTTTTTCCACTGAGATATGCCTTTTTCCCTGATTCTACACATAACTTTGCATTGGGTTCTGCTCTTTATGAAAGAACACTTTTTTTTTTTTCTGAAAATGAATGCTCATCTAGAGCTATTAGTCTGAAATTTTATTGATCTAATTCAAGAGTAAAATTTCCTGTTGTAAGAGGAGATGTAAGTTTTATTTTCTAACACCTGCAATATAGAAGATGCCTTGTAAACATGGAATAATTGAAGGCATTTATGAAATGGTTGAACAAACAAGTTACGCAGAAGGGATGAAGAAGCAGGTGTCTCACGAGCTGGCCAAACTTCCTTAGTCTCCCTTATGTTATGGTAATTATTTCAAAATGTATAAAGTTAGCCTAATTTTTAGCTATTTTTTATACTTCTAGAGTTTTTATGGTTTAGTCCTATTCTTTCAGGTATGTTTAATGGTGTTCCCTTTATTTCTTTCAAGAATGTCTTGCCAGTCCAAAAAGCAGCTGCTCGAACTCTCTGCGTTTATTTGCGTTATAATCGCAAACAAGAACAGAGGCATGAGATTATTCAGAAGCTCATTGAACGTAAGAGAGTTTTTTTCTGGATTACTTAGAGGTGTAAATTAGTCTTGACTAAAGATCTACTTCTGGTTATATTTATTCAGTGTAGCTTTGTGCCGTCGTTGGAGGGATTACACTTAGAAGACACTTGGTTGCTCATATTACCACCAGGCAAAACATATGCATGTGCAAGGAGTATATCTGAAGCTTATGCAAAAGGAATTGGGAAGGAGGCGATATGGGAAATTGATAATATGCCAAGACCCCTCCAACCCTGCTTCTTGAACCTAGAATTTCTTTAGCTGTAGGTGCTGCAACATACAAAGCAAAGTTTCTGTAAAGAAATAAAATTCTCTAGGGGCTTCAGCATATATAGTGCAGAATAAATCTCAGAAATTAATTAAGGAATAATTTAGCTACATAAGTTGACTTTCTGGTCTATGCTGTGTTTAAAGATAGTTTAGAAGCTTCAGTAGTTCCCATTAGCAATCCTCGATGTTTTTTACACAGTAATTTTGATACACCTGAGACATGTTTTGAAAAGCATACAGGACTCTGTTTAACACAGCAGCCAGTTCACTTGCTATTTTAAAGGGACAGGTTGTATAGATGGTAAACATTCTCACCGACCTAAATGGTCGTTGAACTCAGAAGGTTAGGTTTTTCATTGAAAGAAAGAATTGAGATAGCTGAGAAGGTGTGCCTTGTGATGAGTGTGATTATCACATTTGAGTCAAAGGTTAACCTTGGAAATGTTTTCTATCTGACATTGAAAGCTTAGTATCTGTGTTTTGGTATTTTTCAGAACTGGGCCAAGGAAAAAGTTATTGGAACAGACTTCGTTTTTTAGATACTTGTGAATTCATTATGGAGCTGTTTTCAAAGTCATTCTTCTGTAAATACTTCTTTCTACCTGTGCTGGAACTTACACATGATCCAGTGGCAAATGTGAGGTACTGTATGAGGATTATGGAGCAGTGTACAAAAAAAAAGCTTTAAATAATAAGAAATATTGTTGCCGTTTTGGTCTTGTTTAAATAATGGGACTTGAATTAAAAGATACAGCTGGACCCTTCAGAGTCACCTGTATTAAAGGTGTAGGGGACTGTGGGAATGATATTAGAGAACCACAGAAGCGAGTCAGTCTGAGTATTTGGGAAACTGATCAAAAGTAGTGGGTTTAGGAGTAAAAGGAACAGTGAGGCAGAGGAGCCAACAACAGATGAGAAGAGAATAAGTAATACACAGTCTCATGGGTGTGGAGAGAAATGTAAATTCTGTCTCCCTTGATTTCCATCCATTTCCACATCACTATATGTAAAGTAAAACACACAAGCAATTCTTTTAGTGGTCTGAGCTTAGTAAGTTAGCATAAGTTTTACCTTACCTAAATTTTTCTGCTTAATTTTTAAAGTTGAAAAATAATAAAGTATACAGGAATTTGGTATGTTGTTCATTTTCATACAGTGGTTTTTCTGTTATTTTATTAATCATTTTTTTTTCTTCACTAAGCAGATAAGGACCAAGAAGTTATTACCAATAAGAAAATAATTTGGGTTTTAGTTCTGTATTGTGTAATTTTTACAATTTTAGTCTTATTTCTGATGTGTATAATTCATGTTGTCACCATTAATATGTCTGAACATCCAATATAATGTTGCATAGAGATCTACATAAGCATAATTTCAACATACATGTGTGCATTCAGTAAGCTTCACTCGGTATGGTTTATTACCTGCCTTGGCAGGGGGGCTGGACTGGATGATCTCCAGAGGTCCCTTCCAAGCTCTACCATTCTGTGATTTTGTAATTACCAATTGAAACTGTTTAAATAGACCTTGTGTTTAGTATAACTCCAGCATCTCAAAGCAGGATCCCAAATCTAAAAATTGAGCCATTTTGTGCCTATTAATTAACATTCATGTCTCATGTCCATAACTTAAGAGGACTATATTAAAACAGTAAGCTAAACTTGTATATCATCTGAATTAGCTTATTGCTTTTAACAACCATTTTAATTAAAAGCTCTATTGATACAATAATAGAATTTAATGGAAACTTGCAATCCCTTAACTGACATTAAATAACTTTTGCCATAATTCTTTTCTGGATTGTTCCTTAACACTTTTGTGAAAAGGAATGCACTGTCTGAATAGGCTGAAGTTTCAAAGTCAAACATAGTTGTTAGGTCACGATTTTAAAGCAAACTTTGAGAGATGTTATTCTAGCTTTCTACAGAGCAGTGTAACTCTTTGTAATGGGAAGCTGTGAAAGTTAAAATGTTTTGAATGTGTGAAACCAGTAAGATGAATTCATATAAAAATTTAATTTTGAATGTGATTAATCACAAAGTGACCATTTCTGGCACAGGATTTTCTCTGATTACAAGCCAGTGGAATCTGAGAACAGCAGAGAATATCACCATGTAGGGTTTTTTTAACCTATTTCTATAGATTAAAACTAATCACTACAATATGCTATGATAGTCTGATCAAATGCACTAAGTTTTATTTTCTTAAATATACGAAATATTTCATCTGCAGAGTATTTTGGTGTTAATGATACATAAAATATTTATCGCTTTATGTAAACAGTTTAGAAATAGTATCTAGTAATCAGGGCAAATAAATTATTATAGAATCAAAGAATCATTTAGGTTGAAAAAGACACTTAAGATCAAGTCCAGCCGTTCACCTAACACTGGTAAGTTCACCACTTCACAATGTCTTAAATACTTCAAGGGATTCTGACCCTTAACCAATCCCCCGGGCAGTCTGTTCCAATGTTTTACAACCTTTTTGGGAAAATAGTCTCATGCTCACTTTCCTACAGCTTCCTTTCAGGTAGCTGTAGAGATTCGTAAGGTCTCACCTGAGCATCCTTTTCTCCATGCTAAACAACCCCAGTTCCCTCAGCTGCTTCTTGTAAGACTTGTGCTCTAAACCCTTCATCAGCTTTGTTGCCCTTCTTTGGACATGCTCCATCACTTCTTTTGTAGTGAGGGGCCCAAAACTAAATGCAGTACTTGAGGTGTGGCCTCACCAGTGCCAAGTACAGAAGGACAATGACTTCCCTAATCCTGTTGGCCACACTGTATTTGATATAAGCCAGGATGCTGTTGGCCTACTTGGCCACCTGGGCACACTGCTGGCTCATTTTCAGACGGTTGACTGCATTATTGACTTTCAGATACAGGACTGTAGTCCTGATCTGTGGAGTTGTTTTTTTTTTTTAATGTTACAGTGTGTCTGGAAACAACACAAGCACCAATAATTTCTGAAAACTAAGACTTAATATCAAATGTGACCATGCAATACAAAAATTAATGTATGTTAAATATCTGCATCAAAAGATTAATATTTACTTTTCTTTGTAGAATGAAGCTATGCTATTTGTTGCCAAAAGTTAAATCTACTCTGAAGATTCCTACCGATAAACATTTGCTCCAGCAGTTGGAATTATGTATAAGGAAACTTCTGTGTCAAGAAAAAGACAAAGATGTCCTGACTATTGTGAAAAGAGTAAGCATTTTGTTATGTGGTTATCATGAAAAGTTAAGATGATCAAAGTTATGCTTGCTGTTGATTCTCTTAATGTAAGTACAGGAGACGAAAGAATTTTATTGTCTATTAGGTAATTTTGAACAATTAAGAGACAGTGTAGTAGAGTGCATTCTGTTAAATTTGAGAGAATTGATGTTTCCTTGGTTGCTTAGATTGCAGTTATTTTCTAGTGATTAGAATTCAGGGGTTTGGTTCAATGACGACTTGTGAAAAAAATAGCAGATGTCTAAAGATAGGATTAAAGGTTGACCCTAGTAAAACTGGTCAACTCTTTAAGGCAGAGCTTTCCTGATAACCCATATATTTTACAGTCTGCAGATAAAGGATTTGCAGGATTTTGAAATATTACAAATGTCTTTGTCATGTGAATATTCACAAAAAAGTAGATCTTTACAGGATACTGATGCATAATCTCAAAGAAGCCATGAAGCGAAGCTTAAGTAGGTGGCTTGCTTACAGGGCCAGTCTGCAGGAAAGACTGGGGGAACACCTGTGTGGAGCATCCTGCATTAGTACAAATTCCCGAGTTGTTTTTTTCAGTCTTGATTCCTAGATCCATGCTTGTTTTGCCAATGACTAGGCCTAACAGGAATGACACAAGCAGCAGAAAGACAAACCAGTAAGGCAACTGTATTGAATATAGAAAAGACATTCCATGAACAATCACTGGGGGTACAAACAAGTCAATTAGTTCACATACAATCAACATTACCCTTAACAATCCCAGCAACAACGTTGCCTGACCAACAATAGGCAGAACAAACGAAGAACCAAGGCTTCCCACAGATGGAATGGGAAACAGCCCGGTCAATAGGTTAAACACACAAGATAAAGGTGGCCACATGGCCAGCTCTCACCCTCCTAGCCCGCATTTGCAAAGGCCCAAGATGACTGGGGCCCAGTTCTAAGGAGAGTCAGAAGGTCCTTCTTCAACCAGGAAACTCTGTGAAGTGGATGCACCCTTCCTGCAAGTGGTCCCAGCTTTTATCCCCGAGCAGACACCTGACCTTTGTTCACTCAGTGCAGGACCCCTGGGGCTCATTTCCCTTATGGCTCTCCCTGCAGGGCCGGCCGCACCCTGGGGGGAAGCTATAAGGCAAATTCACCACCTCTGTATGAAGAGCTGTGGGAATCACCCATATGTCAACCTTAATTTGGGGCTTGGGGTTCAAACCCCAGCATTTCAGTGCTCCAGCCATTCATGCTTCTGTGCTTTCCCTGAGGGTATTTTGAGCTCAGTATAGATAGTGTGTGAGTCCTTCAGTGTGAGTCTTAGCAGAGCTCCAGAAATACTATTGACAGTTTAACTGCACATGTAGCACGAAAATATAAGCATAGGCTTCAAATGTTTAGGAAGTAAAAGGCATGTTTAATTTTGAACACCACTGTTCTGAACTAATCTGGACTTTTTTTTTAGTTGAAAGTGTGGCATGCTGTTGACTAACGATAAATAATGTTTTGATTTTCTTTACAGACAGTATTAGAACTGGACAGAATGGAGATCTCGGTAGATGCTGTAAGTACTTACTAACTTTAATAATTACTAAATACTTCTAATTCCCATTTTCATGTAGTGATTTTTTTTTTTATTGATTTTATCTTGAAGTTTCAGAAAAGATTTTACGAAAATGATTTATTGGATCAAGAAAAAGAGAGACAAGAACATCTCCTTTTGGAAATGGTATATTTTATCAGTACAGTCTGTCCTTTTGTTAAGTTTGTAGCTAAATATTAATGAGGCAATAATAGTAAGGTAAGGGAAGTGCATATTATGGAGAGACCTGGTAGGTTTGTATCTGTGTGTGGTCTCATTTTACACTTTACAATAGGTTAAGTCCTTCAAAGTAGTGCGTTACTTCCTTTTGTTTACTACCTAAATTTTGCTGTATCAATTATAAAGGCAAACTGGAATTTCTTGAAAAGTCTTCATGCTTGATGCCTCTGTAGTTGTAAAATCCAAGTCCTTCCACAGACCTCTAAGAAATCTTTTTGAGGGCGCTTAGCAATTTGTCAGGTGTGTATAACTTAATAAACTGAATAACAAAACACCTCAGAATTCACATACAGCTTCCAGAGGCAAAGAAATTGATCTCAGAACTCTTTTTGTGCTAAGGAAGCTGAAGTTGTAAGTTTCCTTGCTAGCTTTAAAGAAAAAAAAAGAGAGAAAAGCCATTGTTATTTGCAGCCTGGCAGGGGGGAGACTTGCTGCATGTTGTACAGAGCAACAGGAGCTACAAGTTACTTAGTATTTCAGAGAGAAGTCTGCAGAATGCTCTTCCAGTTTACAGAAGTATTTTCAGTTGTAGCTGTAAGCAAAAGCTGCAGCAGGTGCTTCACCACATACCCTAGGTTAGATTACTGCAGTCCTCTGTTCTGCTGTCTCCTTTCCAGCCTGAGGCTGGAGAAGCTGAGAAGCTGATAGGATTTAGAAGTGGCCAAATTTCATTAGCATGGTTCCTCTGACTTGTAGTAATTCAATTTCTCTGCAGTAAATCAGAGCAGATTCAGACTGTTCAAAAAATGTCACTATTTCCTCTTTGGGATTGCTACAGAACCTACATTTACGGCCCATTTTGATATCAATAGGCAGTGCAGGCTTTCTCTTGGGAAGCTGATTTTCCCAGTTCCATGATACCTGTCTGATGTACTTCCTACTGTCTCCTTTTAGCTCAAGCAAGAGATTCAAGCTTTGTTCTCGGGACCTGGATACAGATATTCAAAGACTTGAACTTAGCGTTAGTATTTTTTAGGTAGATACAAGTAATGCTTTTGTTAGGAAAGCATTTGGGGCTGTGGTAAAATAGCCTCCAGTGCCTTCTGTGCTATCTTACATTGTATGGCAAGATCAATTTTTGCCCTCTTTGTACAGCTAGACATTAGAAGATCACCTGTATTTTTGTGATATATCCCACTGAAATGGGCGTATCTTCTGTATCACAAAGGTCTTGTTAAGCATTGTCTGAGAGTTGTGATTTTGGGCAACTGGAGATGTACACAGTAAATTGTGAAGTGTTGCAGTCTCAAATAGATAAGGAGCCATTGAACCCAGTTCTGACTGCTTCAGATTTTAATACTGAATATGTTAATGTTTCCTTACTTGTTAGTAATTGAGTTAGTAGCATCTATGTTCCACCATCCTTGACCTGAATTAATTACATTTTTTTATTTTTTTTTTAAACTTGGGTAGTAATTAGAGTGAAATGGAAAAAATAGAGCAGAACAATTCCAGTTAACTTGGCACTTCTTATTATGAACATAGTACAGAAAACAAGCTAAAATTATACGGCTTTTTGAAGTTGGTATGGTATCTATTCACTAAGAATCCTGAAGCATGTATTGGCTTTTGAAATTACTGGTGTAGCTATGTTCACATTGTCTTCTGTCTCTGGGTGTGCTCTCAAAAGGTATTCTAAGGCTCGCTAATACTACAGAAAGGCAAAGAAGTTCTTTAAACATGAAGTTTGACACCGTCTCCACAGCATCCTTGTAGATAAATTGA